CACGTAACTAGGGGGACATAACCGGTGTTGAAACAGGAACACACTAGACCCGGGGTCGGCAACCCATGGCTCGCGAGCCACATATGGCTCTTGATGATCGCGTATGGCTCTTTCAGAAATTTCAGATTTTATTATTTTAGTTACTCTTTAAAGGTCTAAGTAGTCGGTTGTGCTCGGATCATTACAATCATCAGGCCAAATAATTTTAAAATATACTGTATGGTTCTTTCTGAAATATATTTCCAAATATTTGCCTTCTTGGCTCTCTGAGTTAAAAAGGTTGCCGACCCCTGCACTAGACATATAAACAAGTCAGGGAGAGCTGGGGTATGGGCCCGTGTCAATGGCTTCGAACTCTAAGTTCTAGACCGAATTTTAGACCCATAGTTACTTAGCTGAGATCGGGTACATTGGGTGGCAATGGGGAGTAGTACTGGCTGATGCATGACCCAGCTGCTCCTAGCTCGTAAATAGTTCATCTACACAATGGAGATTAACCCATGTTTGTGGGGGCCACCATCCCTATCGGAGTAACATTTTCTGTATGCATGAGCGTATTCTCGGAATAGTTCGAGCGTCGGTTTCCACTAGGTTCACCATGAGCACCGCAACAAAGTGGCGCAGAGACCGTAACTTTCCCGTGAATTGTATTATAGCGGTTGTCGACTTGCGCTGCATCTACCGCGCTTTTTTCCTCCTCCGCCTCCACCGGTAGTATGACCAAATCAAGAAGACCGGGGCGGACAGGCGCGGCCGGAGCTGCCCCTAAGCATACTGCTACACTTGGCTCAGATCACCCCAAAGTGGCCATGTCATAGAGGAATCATTGCAGCCTAAATCTCAGTCCATCAATCGGCTACTGCACACAAACGCAAGCTGGGCTGACTGCGAAGTCCGAGTGATCCCGTTAGTCGACCGACTTCCAAGCCACGATTTTTAGCGTCAGGTTGTTTATAGTGGAGAATATGTGCCTTGCATCGACCGAAAAATACGTCGAATGTTATCACGCTTTCCGTAAG